GTTCTCGGACAGGGTTGTGACGTCGAGACGGACGGTGAGGAGGGGGGGGGGGTGTTCGGAATGGCGATTGGGGAAAAGATTTTTGGGGCGGAAGGATGGGATTAGAGAGGAGGTGATGTTCGATGGGGTGATTCGGACTCGGGTTGGGATACAGAGCGAGCAGGACTTTTGATCGATTCTACGAAAAAGTTGCCGCACCCCGTGGTGCGGCCCATGTACCCAGGAAGCCGGGACCTCGACGGTAGGGCAACCCATTTGGACCAGGGGGTCAACCCCGCAATTTCGAATTTTTGAAAATTGTAAAATCGCAAAACTATTTTTTATAGCCACCTCCCGATTTATTTATCGATCTATCAAAACGTATGCGATGGCTCTATAATACTCAGATGTGATTTATTAAATAGTGTTCTGTTATTGAAAGAAGACTTAGAATTATTATGTCTAAAGCTCCTATGATTATTGTGGAGTTACTCTATTATCTTTGGTTGAAGAGTGCAGTTAAGATAGATAGCTCTAAAACCTTCAATTGAATATTACTTCGTTAATATTAAGTTAATTTATATAATTTCGAATTTTAAACTATATTATAGAATACGCGCTATAATTTGCACTCTTCAGAATCTAAAGAAATTGCCTTGATGTGTAGCAATGGTGTGGGATAAGCGAATATTGGAAAATGGAAAATGGAAAAATGAAAAACGGATTTTCGGTGGTTGACCCCCTGGTCCAAATGGGTTGCCGTAGACGGCCGTTCCGTACCATGACTAGTAAGCCCGACGCTTCAGCACCCCGCACACAACTCATCTCACTCCCCCCCCAACCATCCCATCTAATAAGCCAACGTGTTGTTCCACAAACTCTCCACCGTAACCGCAGCCACCCACTGACCCCCCGTCCCATCGCTCTTCAACGCGTACCCCACCTCCCTCTTCCGCCCGGGCAGGAGCCAAAAGCCATTCTGCTCGAAATTTAGCAGTGCCCCCGCGGGGTAATCCAGCCACGTCCACGCCGCGATGCCCGTCGTAGCCTCGACCGTGAAGCGCTTCGTCGTATTATCGTATGATAATACAAGGCCCGGATCGACCAATTCGGCATGCGCGAGCGAGGAAGGGTGGAAGAAGTTCTCATGGGTGAAGATCGTCGTTGTGGTGTCTGTATTCGGAAGGCGGCCAGTGGCCGTGACGTTCATGTAGAGGAGGGCGTTGTTGAAGTCGAGGGTCGAGTTGTCGAGGGTAGTCTTGAGCACGCGCGTGGTGTTGAGCGCGCCGACGGTGAAATTGGTCGATGGTGTGCTGATGTTCGTGATGGGTGTGCCGTCCCAGCGGTACCATTCGAAGGTAGCGATGCCGGTTGTGGGGGACCACAGATCGGAGGTGACGTAGACTTCCAAGTCGCCGGTTGTGGTGTTGTAGAAGGGGGAGATGATGACGGGTTGGTAGATGTCCTTGGCTGTGTAGTGGAGGACTTTCCATCGGCCTGGCGCCGTGATCAGATCAGTTCAGATTCCAGAGGATGAATTTGCGGGCGACTTACCATCATATTCGATGCCAGCCCATGAGGGTGCCTGCCAGATATCCTCCAGTTGCCAATAAAGGGAGCCTAGCTGCCGGTTCGGAAACCCACTGCCGCGGCGGTAGAATTGGATTTCGGACTTGTAGAAGTCGGCCTGAAAGATCTGAGTTGTGTGGCACCAAGCAGAGAAGTTTGCAACGCTGTCGGTCTTATTTGGAACCTGAGGACCATTAACCCAGGACTACTTGAGTGCAGCACCAAGGTCTTACTGGATACCATCTCTGGGCTGCAATAGTCATTTGGCCCATTCCCTCCGAACTATTTGCGAAATTGCTTGTGTTCAAGCCACCGGGCGGATTATGGTGGTTCCGAAGCACAATTGTTGTGGAATTAAAGTGAAGATCTGCCGGCGACACTGCTTGCTGCCAAGTCTGTAGAGAGGGCATAGAATGGTAGCCGAACTCGTTTGCGAACCTGCCGACTGGGTATGAAGAGTAGTTGAATGCGATGGAAGAGTCGTAATTGTAGTAATCTAAAGGACGTCGGTTCGGCTGGTCTTTCGTGACAAGAGCAAAACAAGATGACGGTTACTGACCTGTGTCTCCATACACTGATCCAGGAGTCTTGTTGTTATATCGTTCGATCATCGGCTCGGGCAAGGAAAAGTTCAACTCGAGGTAGCCATTAGTGGTACTGCTGGGAATATAGCTAATGCTCTTGGAGTTTGCATATACTATCGGCAGAAGTGTGTCTAAAAAGAGTCGCTCGTACTGTGCCAAGTAGGTGTCGTATTGGTCAGGAGCGGTATCGTTCACAGTACTTAGCTCCAGCGACTCCAACTCATTGCCTGATTACAAGGTCAGCGGAGTTCATGTCAGACTGGTTGCAATGCTACGACCATGAAGAACATGGAGCATACGGGGAGGGGCAGCCTTGGTGGCTTACCTCCAGCCCACAATGCCAGCGATGGATGATGATTCACTCTTCTCACATTGTACGTCGCTTCCTCGATGACATTGTCAATGAACTCCTGATCGACCGGATACAGCGCATCACCAAATTCAAACTCCGACCACATCAAGATACCTTCCTGATCAGCCATATCATAGATAAAATCTGGCGTATAAGCTCCGCTAGCCCAAACGCGTAGCATGTTCTGATTAGCAGCTGTCACAGAATCGAATAGTTGCTGTATTTTCGTGGAAGTCACTCGTGGCCAGAAGGCATCTGGAGGGATAAAGTTCGAGCCTTTGGCGTAGAATTCGTGGCCATTGATTTCGAAATGCCTGAGTAGTTGGTAAGTGAGTAGTTCCTAAGCGATCCAACTAGAAAAAAAAAGTGGTATCCTCACCAATTGTTTCCGGGAGCGATACCCTGCGCTATCTGCTCGTCCGAAATTACTTGCATATTGAGAACCTTGCCGCCGTTAGAATGACTCTTTGTTGGTCGCCTTTCCGGAAGGACTTACGATGGTACGGAAACCTGTACGCCTGTTGATCGACGCCAATGTGTTGTTACTGCTGTCGACAATACTGACAGTGAGATTGTAGAGATTTTGAGGACCCAATCCACGAGGCCACCATAATTCGTACAGTGAAGGATCAAGCACGGCAGTACCTGTAATGGTGCTATTGGAGCTGGTCACATTGTTCAAAGTACCCGAAGACACAGTCTGGTTCGTGATCGAATTGGCAATAACATAGTTAAGCGCAGCACCCTGAGGCAAATTGCCCAAAACGTCTAGACTTGCATTCAAAAGCCAAGGCGCGCTTTGATCCGGAGGAATGTTGTTCATTTGACCCACACGAGCGATATCGAAATCAGAATTTCTGACATAGATATCCGAGGATGCATTGGGCGAGGAAGAGAGCTGTATGACATATGCCGGCTGCCAAATGCCAGCCGGAGCAAAAGCAGGTCCCCAATCCCATCCAAAATCCGATTGCTCCTTGCGGATGAACTGCCTGTTTGGGAATTCGTAGATGATTTCAACACCGTATGGCCATGTCTCCTGGCCTGGCTCGGCAGCGATTTGATCGGCTATCATCGGAGCGCTGCCGAAGTTGATGCTGAGAATCGGTGAAGTACAATTACCCAACAAGGTTGAGACGTCGAAATAGTATTGGCGGAACTGGTTGTTGGTGGAGGCTACGGGCTGCCCGCAGAACTCGATACTGGTGAAGGTATCCAGGCCGTTGAAGAGAAGCCATGTCTGTGTACTGCTAGTCGTACGTCTATTCGGGATTATTACCAGCTTCTTCCACCATCTGGGCGTCCTTGTTACTCACAATCCTGACAGCAAAGCGCTATATGTCCAATTATTATTGGCTATCCAACGCAAATTGAAGTCATTCAAGCCATAGTATCTTTCTGCCAGTCAGCTCTAGCGACATGAATCGCTTTAGCTGAGCGTACGGATCACCGATGACCTGAGCAGCGTAAAGGTCCAAATGCGCTTGTGAAGGCACCGATCCAGGCACACTGATATTCAGGGGCAAGTTCTCCAATGTCCAATCGCTTCCGCTCAAGTCGATAATCTTTTGTGATAAAACGCCGACCACAAAGAACAAGGCGGCAAGAAGGTTAGGTATGGCCATTTTGAAAGCTCTAGACAGAGAACAGCGGGGAAAGGCTGCCTCGCCATCTTATAGGCAATACCGCAGGGCGCACTCGAACCCTCCCGCACGTTGCGCATGATGTAAAATCGACTCGGCCAAAGCTAGGCACAGGTGAGAAATTTAACTTATAAAGGAAGCTGGATGTCAGCTTTTTCTTTTGATGGTGAGGAATCCATGCCCATGCGGCAACCCCGCAATAAGATGACATTGATTTTATTGTATTTTGTGGGGTAAGACGTCAGCCCGCAGCCTAGATACTTAGCAATTTAGCCTGTTCGGGCTTATTCGATGCACGCCTTCGAGTTTGGAGTAACTGGGAACTCTAGTTGCATGTGGAGCTTTGCATTAGACTGTGGACAAGAAAATCCCACAAGGAAAGGAGCGCATTTTGACGTGGCACCAAAAAGAAGTAGGTAAGATTCGCAATCACGGGAATATATTCACTTGTCGTGCACCAAATGGCGGCAAGACCGCATATATGAGACCAAAATGGCATTTGAGCAATGGATACCGTCGCCGGTGCGTCATGCTTTTTCATCTTTTGCGAATGGATGAGCCCTGCTCACAGCACGTTGAACATGAACGTGCGCAGATTTGCTGCTTTCCGTCAGTCTGGTGGTTTCCTCGAGTTGCACTCCGATCAAGCACAGACGTTGTTCGCATGCATCGGCCGAATGCCCGGATCGTCAAAGCTTTGATCCTGGACAGGTGCAAGATTCTGCAAACGCGGCCATTCCGACATCCGGCCTTCTTCCAACTCATCCTTGCACGACCTGCGTCTCAGAGCAGGCCGTCAACTCGGCAGCACTTTCATAGTCTTCACATGAGCGCGAATTACCCCTAGTCGCCATTAGGAGCTACCGAAGTGCCCTACGCAACGCCTTTTCCAACATTGTAGCTGTTCATGGGAATACCACCAGCTCCATTGACCAAACTGTCCAGCGCAGGGGCCACGAGATCAGCAACGAGGAAGAAAAAGGTGACGACGAATTCTTGGATGATAGCCATACATAGCTGGACTGTTGCATTCCCACCAACGATATTGAACGTGTTGTTATCTTCAAAGTCTGCGAGAAGACTGTAGAGAAGGCGGACGGCAAGGAAAGAAAGCGAGACCAGGACCGCGTATAAGATGCACTTCTCGCCCCGTGGGAGGTCGCGGGACTCGGCCATGGCGAGCATGGCGAATGCCACAATAACAACAGAGGAGATCAGGGATATGATGGCACCGGCCTTTCCGAATGTTTCTCCGGAGTTGAGTTTGGATGTGTCGGACGACGAGATCCGAGTGCCGCCAACGATAGAGAGGATCAGAGCAAGCATGATCGGTATGTGAAGCATCTCAAGAAGACGAGTACGGGAAGTGCCACCGGCGATGAAGTCATTGCTGTCGCATGATGTTAGCTCGATGGCCAAACTCAAGCAAGGTAGACGTACACCCTTCTCAGCAGACCTGAAGCGACCAGAAATAAAGGACTGAGTCCAATAGAGCCAAGGATGGCGGTCCAGGTAGCGTCGTCACGATTTGCCGGATTCTTGGCGCTGAGGATCTCCAAAATTGCGCTTGCTGTGCGCAGCCCGCAGAAAAGGATGAGGTAGATCCGCGGCCTGCCTTTGGAGAAGCCATGCTTGAAAATGATGGCGATGGCGAGAGCGATGGAGGGTATGTAGACTGCGAGTTCGGCGGTGGCAATATTTTCCCTTTCCGACAACATACTGGCAGGTTAGAAGCTCAGGAAGCGTGACTTGGCCATGGAAAGCGAATGCAACCAATGATATACGCAAAGAGACAGTAACGCTTAAATTCTTGATGAACTCGGGTGGAATGAGACAATAAATGAGACACGAGGCCCCTTATATCTAGGCATCGCGAACGCCTCTTGCGTAAACGGTAAATAACCTCGTGAAGAGCAAAGTCTATGACCTGCCCTTAAACGGCCCTATCGCGACTTTACTCGTATAGAGTAAAGAGATGATAGTATGGCTGCAATTCGAGGCATACCAAGAATGGACCCTGAGCTTTACCGAGTGATCCCCGCCCGTCGTTATCAATTTTCCAAAAAACAAGCTCCAATTGGCGGCAAGATGTGCCATGTTGATTTCGTAGATTCGTAAGGTAGTCCGAGATATTAGCGTGGCTGAAGCTGTGCGAAGGACAAGGATGAAAATTGTTGATGAAACATCGCCCGCAGAAGTCGGTGCTTTGTCTCTATCCGACCCATTTCAATGACCTACTCAACACACCAGAAGTCAATATTAGAAAGGCGGTCTATATCGAAGTGTACGCCTGGATGCGGATTCTTCGAGTAACGATACGCCACCAGTTGAGTGGGGTTGCCTAGCCAGCATGATTAGTAGGCCTTGGCTACGAGTAGATATCTGGGCCACTCACCAGTCTTACATAGACCAGTCATCCTTCTACCTCTGGACCGTACCTTATTGGTTCCTTCTATTTCTCCACCATCCTCCCATCTCCCATCAAGTCTCCCGCCCGGCGGATTCATCACCTCTTCCTTCTCCCCATACTCCCACCACCGAATATACTCCCAATCTTTCCCCACCCTACAACTCCCAAGATTCAGAGAGATGTGTCCTTCCTTCGAGATGCTGGTCCTTCCTAATCCAGATGAAAAGGCAGTAAAATTGTTGTGTCTGCGATGTCGTGTACACCAGGGATGGGAGCGGAAGTTTTTTATCCGCCAATCATGTACCGATGCTTTGAGCAAAAAAAGGTTACCGACATATTCACATGAGGGTCACTTCGGCTTAGCAAAACCACCAGCATTCGATCAATAGCCCCAAGAACTCTACAGCTTTCCATTCTCGTACTGCTACCATATCTTGAATTCCCAATTATACGATCATTGGGGCTGTCTCCCCGGATCGGAGAGGTCCGTAGTTGACCAAGGCTTTCATTTCAACCGATGTCATAAGTGGGATTTGGAAGCCTGATTTTGAACTCGGTGCTCTATCACCATACATGTACCCATAGAGACGTGGCTATCTCAGCATTTGCGTGGTAGAGAAAATGCTCCAGCTTCCTACATACTCGCGTCCAGGGAGCCAGCTAACTCTGGTCCGAGCCGGTGCTTTTTCAAGTTGGGAGCCTCTGGTGTAGAGCGTACTTGAATACTGTATTCCTTGCTATCTTGCTAGTAGTTCAAGCCGCCCTTACTTGGGTCGCATCTGCTCGGAATCTTTCTTGCGGTTAGTACATAGAGAGCAAGGTCTACAACAGGACGTGGCATTCTGCTGATCAGCATGTTGTAGGTACGATGAGATTGAAGAATTGAAGAGTACGGGGATGGAGCACTCCCAGGCTTCCTAGGCTGAATCATGCTAGTCACCCTAAAAGCGGCAGCCTCGGGCGGGCGTTGGACGGCGTTTGATACCTAAAAATAGCGCAGATCTGCGGGTACCTGAGCCTGACCCTTGAAATTTGAAATATTAGAGTACTTTATCGTTTAACATTTGGTGATGGTTTGAACACATCACGAGACACATCCCTCTTGCCGACCTCCTCAGCAGCCCCCAAGAGGCTCTCTCTCCGAAAAAGTCGCAAGTACGATGTGACCAATGAGGCTCTCCATGCTAAAGCGCCAAATCCTCGGACTGCTTGCGGCTCTGATCCTCCTTTACGCCCTATCCTACGTAGCACGCGACTTCTACTGGCATCACGAAGACAAAAGCAATGTCCCTTACAAGGGACCATACACGGCATTGATCGAAGGCGACCCGAGTCTCGGTTTCCTCTCACTCCAAGATGCCTCAACTTTCTGCCAAAGACGCCGTTTAGACATCTACGAAACCCGGGCTCAACGCCGAAAGGTCTACGATCTCTTCCTCATCAATACCGAGCTCGATTGGTTAGAGATCCGTCTGAACGATCTAAACGAGGAAGTTGATTACTTCGTCATCCTGGAATCAGACATCACATTCCAGGAAAATCCCAAACCTCTACACTTCGAGAACAACTACTCCAAATTCGAGCCCTTCCACTCCAAGATCATCCACCGCATCGTGAACTTCACCGACTCATCTATTCCCGCAGGTGATACCTGGGAGCACGAACGCTTCACTCGCAACGCCCTCTTCACCCAAGCCCTCACCTCCCTGTCCGGCGAACAAGCTCCTACCCAAGGTGACGTTCTCGTCATCGGCGACGTCGACGAGATTCCCCGTCCCAGCACCCTTGTCACACTACGCAACTGCGCCTTCCCACCTCGAGTCACCCTTCGGAGTCACTTCTATTACTACAGCTTCCAATGGCTCCACCGCGGCGAGCAATGGGCTCATCCCCAAGCAACCTTCTTCAACGGCCTCAAAGATACCATCAACCCGGAGGACCTGCGCACCGGAAAGCCGCACGTGGAGCTCTACAACGCGGCATGGCATTGCAGTTCGTGTATGCAGACGATGAAGCATTTGGTGAATAAGATTGAGTCCTTCTCGCACAAAGGGTACAACGATCCATATATCCTTGACCCGCAGAGGCTGCTACAAAGGGTCAGGAAAGGGGAAGATCTCTTTGAGAGGGAGACGGAGGTATTTGATCGCGTGGACGATAACATGGATGTGCCGAGGTACCTGTTGCAAGAGGGGAATCGGCAGAAGTTTGCGTACATGCTGGATCGGGATCCGCCAAGTGCTAACTTTCAGGACAGTTGAGAGGACTGGTCAGGCATAATTAGGTAGCATTTTCATGTGCCTTATCATCCAGCGTCACGTAAGCAGACGCGGCCAGAGCAGCCAGCACCCATGATTAGTCTAGCATGATCCTCTTGGTCTACTGGCAAATTAAGCGCCGCACACCGCCCCTGGACCTCGAGCCCGAAGTAAGTATGCCGCATGCCTCGAATCGAGAAACTCGGATGCCATGGCTGCCCCAAGAGCGTTCCGGCATTATAGAAATCCTTCTGGGGGCTAAGTGGGAGACGTAAGACATAAGCGTGAAGACACCAGCTGAATGGCGAGTACATAGCACCTCAGCAGCTCCGCTCTCAACGACAAGGAAGCAGAGCGGGCAGTCGAATTGACACCATTTGGGGGGAGTGATGGAAGCGGTGGAGAAGGCTTCTCCACGCTTATTACACCAAGGAGTGATGAAAACCTACCTTATAGATAAATTTTACAACAAAATTTCCCCAGGTCGTCGCAAGCACCTGCACAACGATGTTCTTCCCGGACATGACTACACTCGTGAATAGCAGCGGCAGCACCCTTTCCCCGCCAACCCGGCGTCTGAAACCCAAGGCCCCTGACCTGAATTGACTCTGGGCGTAACTCCAATCTCGTATACAGCTACAACCTCCGCCTGCTGCTCCAGGTGACCCAAAGCGCTGCCGATGGAGCGACAAGCTGCTTCTTCTCGTCTAATCCCTACACAATACTATCGAAATACCAGCCCCACCATTCTCACACGCAACGGGAACCTTCAAGCCTCGCCGGTAGTGTCATTGTACATCAAAGCTGCTTTCAAGCATACAATAAACGCATTGCAGCATTCGATGCTGTCGAGAACACTTCTGCAACTGCTGATAAACAATGGGACAAAATCACTCAGATGTATTGATCAGAGGTCTCGGGTAGCCGACGAGATGGCCTTTCGCTTTGTTTGGTGTTTGTCATCGTCCATACAGACCTTCTCCGTCATCGCTTCAGATCCGCGAGGTATGAAATGGTAGGCCCAGCCTGAGATGACTGCTTTGACATCGAGCCCATCTATCCATCCTGGCCCAACCGTGCTCTCCTCGTCTGCTCCAAATCTCTTCTTCTTTCATTGGAGGGTCGCTATTGGGATGTCTGAGGCGAAAGTCGGCGAAAGAGATTCCGATGAAATTATCCAGTGGGTCGTTGGCCGTTGCTCTATTAGCTGATGTTTTGATGAACCGAAGGAGTGTGCCGGCTTTATAGAATTTGAGACGACGCTGACGGACCTGATCAGTCTTAGTGGGTTCAAAGTCGAATTATCTGGTAGATCTAATACAGAATAGAAGCAATCGCAATCATCAGGACTGATTGAACCCTGGAGGGTGATCACAAGGCTGTTCACGTTTGACTTCGCCATTCTCAACGCATGGATTTCAAAATTAGTCAGGAGAGCCACTGGCACTTCCTGCTGAGGCCGTCTGTGAACGTTCGCCTGGTAAAGTGCAGAATGGTAAGAGCGCAAGAAAGACAGGGGAAGGTGTGCATCAAAGGAGCTGCCGAGTCATCCTTGCATATGCACACGTTTCAATCGAGTGATAAATGAGCTCATATACAAGCCACGGTCCGAGAACATCAGAGGCAAACCAAAGAAGACGCGCCTTGTCTAGAAAAACCAGATGATGCCGAGAAATGTCTACCTCTTAGGCGCCCGGTGCATCGGCAAAGCAACCCTCGTCGCCGTTCTTTCGGCCCATTTCACCACTTCCGCAACAGGAACAATTACAACAACGTCCGCACCTCCAATCTTCTCCGAAGTCGCGCGAACCGTTCCAAGCCAGCACGACTTCGCAGCAAGCGACATCACATCGTCTCCCAGCCAAGCAATGCTCCTCCAGAAACTGATACTCGAGGCGCAATACTCGACGGAAAAAGGCAGTGGGGCCACGATGGTTCATCTCTGGTCGATCTGCCTTCGACCCCACTGTTTAGGTACGTGGGAGAAGACGGAGCCAGATGCTTGACGCGGACGGAAATTCAAGGGAAATTGTAGGAGCGCATGGGGCAGTCATTGGTCGTCGTTTGCGAGGCTGGCGCTGACGGGCTGATCGACGACGGAGTGAGATTCAGATGCCGGAGGACGAAGCCGACTGGATCGCTTTCATGGTCTCTTTTTCTTTCATAGCTGGAGGATGGGGGCTTGGAGTATGTCGTCTTGCCTTGCGGAATGAAGGATTTAGCGGAGCATGTCGCTTTTGAATGGGTGGCAGCGGGCGAAGGCTGTGCCGGTCGTTGTACATGCAAAGAAATCCCGGTTTCTTACAAACTAGCATAACTCGATCAATACTTCCTCAATTTGATTACTCTGCCTTCAAATTTTCTTCAATTAGATAACATCTACAACTTGTACATCGAAACTTTTTGCGATAGATCTTTCGTCGCGGGGGTCTCTGGCATTCCCGATTGTAGGGTGTCGTGAGTGTGACGACTTCTGACAGCAGCTAAAAATAGCGGCGGCAGTACTATTTTCCTTGCCTTAGGGTTAGGGTTTTCCTGAAGGCTGAGGGCTGAAACATGAAACCCAAAGGACCCTGACCGCTGAGCTCCTACAACTTACAAGCAACATCAGTCACCCTTGTACTTCCTCAAAGCACTCCGCCCATTTTTGAGGCTCAGACCCAGCTCCTTCAAGTGACAATGCCGAAAACCTCTGCGAAAGGTATCTTGACAATGTCATCCCTCACTTCTACACACCATTATCCGAATACTACCACCATCTTTGCTTACCATCATCCCTCTCCCTGTTTTACCTCGAGATGCTATTACCAACCAGACCCTCTGTGCTACTGTACACCCTCAGTCCCTTGCTGGCCAACGGGCTCTCACTCGATATCACTAGCTCTGGTGAGTACTACTCGCGATATAAAGGCAGAGCAATCTACTGATGTCACTACAGCCTCTATCAAGAATGCCTCCAGCATTGTCGCCAAGGACATGTTCAGCTATTACCATGGGATAGACCCAGGGCAAGATCCTGGCATCTTCGGAGGACCCTACCTCTGGTCGGAATCGGGTGCCGCCTGGGGAAGCATGATCGACTATTGGAATTACACCGGAGATGCTCAGTACGTTGCTCTTGTACAGCGCGCTTTGCTCTGGCAAGTGGGACCGGACAACGACTACATGTCGCCCAATCAGACCAAGGCTGAGGTAGCGCTCCCCTACGTGCTGAAAGGCATCTGGTAGAAAAAGCTGACCGCCATTGCCAACACAGGGAAACGATGATCAAGCAATCTGGGCTCTAACCGCCATGCGGGCAGCAGAACTACAGTTCCCCTACCCCTCCACCGCCACCTCCAGCTCCCCCTCCTGGCTCGATCTCGCTGTCAACGCATTCAACGACCAAGTATCCCGCTGGAATACATCGACCTGTGGCGGGGGCCTGCGCTGGCAGATTTTCAACTTCAACCAGGGATACGACTACAAGAACGCTATATCGACTGGGGCATTCTTCCAACTTGCCGCCCGGCTGGCTAGGTACACGGGAAACCAGACCTACGCCGACTGGGCTACCAAAAGCTATGACTGGACAAGCTCTATTGGTTTTATTGATCATGACTACCGGGTTTTTGACGGAGCACTGGTCAAAGGCAATTGCAGCAAGATCGATCATCTGCAGTGGACGTACGCCGCTGGAGCTTTCATGTATGGAAGCGCCGTGATGACCAACTTCGTACGCCCAACTCTCCGTGCTTTGCGCCCACTCACACTGACAACACGCAGACAAACACAAACGCGACGTGGAAGATCCGTACGAATAAGCTGCTCGCAACCATGTCCGTCTTCTTTACAGGAGCCTACAACACCGATGGCACCTCCGGTAATCCCGGAATCATGACCGAGGTGGCCTGTGAGTCAATTGGGACATGCGACACCGACCAGTATGCCTACAAGGGCTTGACAGCGCAATGGATGGGTGAGGCTATGCAGGTTGCGCCTTTTACCAAGGACGTAATCATGAGCTACCTCCAGCATTCGGCACAAGGGGCCGCCAGGCAATGTTCCGGAGGCAAAAACGGAACGACTTGTGGGACGCGCTGGACGAAGAGCGAGTACGATGGAAAGACCGGCCTCGGGCAGGAGCTGAGTGCCCTGAACGTCTTCCTGGCCAACCTAGCCGTCAATTCTTCTGCCCTTACCAACGCCAACACGACCGTTGCGAGCAAGGCGGAGGCAAACGGCACCACTCCGTCGTCTTCGAGTACCACCACCACATCCGGGAAACCAACCACGACATCAGCAAAGCCTTCGTCCGGATCCCAGCGTCTGTGGGCAGCCAGCTGGGCTCTGTCTTTCGCGATCCCAGCGGCTGTGCTCTCCTTGTCACTCTTCTGATTGAATGAATATTTCCCTTTGAACCTCCGGCATGGTGTACCATAGCGTTGAACCCTCCCAATTTACACTCGCAGAGGAATAAACGCATGAAGCGAATCGCATAGCGTGCCCAGGCGTTCACCATGGCATTTGATCTATCCATCACCTCATACGTGCACTACTCTTCCCAAAATCTCAACATCACGCACATGTACGCCACCCCAACGAATCGAACCAAAGTCCTCCAAACATAACCAAGTCCCCAACCCCACGTCCCCAACCGCGATCCTCGACATCATTCCCCAACCGCCGCTCTCAACCTCTCCTCTCCCCTTTTTCTCTCAACCCCCCTCCACACCCTCCACCCTCCTCTAACAGCCCCGACATCTCCCTCCCTCCCCACCCCACCCCACCCCTCCAGCCCGCCACTTTCGAACCAGGACACGCACGGCGCACTCTGGCCTCCTAAACTGAAGCCCACGATCATCGCCTCGAACCCTGTATCCATAACCACTCCCGTCTCCGTCCGCTTTAGCCCGGGGGAAAGGACAGGATGGTGGGGTATTGGGGAGGATGAGGGGGTGGGGGGGGGGATGGAATGGATGATTGAATGATCGATGGTGGGGAGGAGGAGGAGGAGGAGGAGGAGGAGGAGGAGGAGGAGGAGGCGTGGAAGGATGGATGGATGAGAGGATGGATGGATGATCGATTAGGGGCGGGGTGGGAGGGTTGCTGGGAAGGAAGGAAGGAAGACGGACGGACGGACGGGGTTAGAGCTTTACGATTTCGTATCTGGGTCTTTTTCCCTTGCCGTTTGGAAGGTTTGGAGCAACGGCTTGACTTGCTAGTTAGTGATGGGATTACTCTGGCGTTGTAACAAGGTTGATTGATTGATTGATTGATTGATAGAAATCTTGATCAGATCAAATGCTCCGACAATACATAAATGACCATGCATGCTCTAATCACATCTCTCTCTCTCTCTCTCTCTCTCTCTCTATTCCGCAGTCCGATGATAAGAACGACCGTGCACCACACATCATGATTCATTTCGGCAGTCACGCAACGCCGATAGGGTATCTTCCTTAGAACAAAACGTGCACACCCTGCAGTTTCTCCACCTCTTTCAAGCAGACCGCGGCCGCGATCCACACGAAGCTCACCAGCGTCCCAACCTTCTTCCTCACTCTGGGCGTATTGCACGCCACGTACAAACAGGCGATCGACCTCTCAAGGGCTTCTGCTCGGCTATTATCTCCGTCACCGCGGGTGATGCACAGGACAGTATACTCCATATCGCGGTCATGCTTCTCTTTCATTGTCTTTGAGGACTCGCGCTGGCGCTTGCTTTGCGTGCCGTTCTTGCCGAGGATGTTGCCGGAGAAGACCTCGATTTCGGAGACGAAGTGTTGGGGATGGTTGGAGTACTGGAGCATTGTGTCGACGAGATTCTCTTCGTAGCTGAAGATCCATCAGTTTCGTTTCCTCCTGCATCGTGGATACAGCTGCAATGGAGCGCCACTTACTTGTCTCTCACGTCCCCAGCCCAGGTCAAGTAATGCTGCCATTCGATCAAGGTCGTTTGTTCACGGACGTAGTTCCAAACAGCGTCCGCAAGACTGCGGGTCTTACCATGATTGGAGCCAGGCATCTTGGATTGTTCCTGAATTGCCTCGAAGAATTTGTGCTCGTCGATTTCGCGGTAAAGCTTCCCGAGCACCTTTTGGCTCTCGTAGTAACGTAGCTTCGGTGGACCATAGTTCGCTACCTCATTGAATTCATTGTCCTCATCTGGAGGAGTTGACAAGTCGGCCTCCTCCAGATTGATGCTCTTTTCCACAAGGACTCGTGGGCCCGGCGCCTGAAAATCTGGGCGAGCTTTCGGATATCTAGGCAAATCGAGAAAATTGACCTGTGAATGTCATTATGATATATGGAGAAACGCTCTTATGTCGTGTTCTGATACATACTGGGATGCCAGTCTTCGAAAAGTCTACCGCCGTAGAATGCATGCCAGCAACCTTGATACAGTCCGAGCCGAATGTTCCTAGAGGCGACTGGTCCGCCAGGATCTGATGTAGAGTAGCGATCAGTCCAAGGTTGTCGTTCTCCATGAACTGAAGGAAGAAGTCTGTCATGTCCGATCTCTCCACTGGCCTGCCAATATCAATGGCCGTAGCTGTGGGATAATCAGCTGGTTGTGAAATCCGTCTGGGATATAAAGTATCGTCGTAGATAACGTTGTAAAGGTCGCCGTCCAGATCTCCTCCGCTAAGCTGCGAAGGCAAGTCTCGTTGGCCATGTTGGCTGAAGACTACAACGTTGTGGAGTGCTCGCAGTGGGCTGTGCGCTGGAACGTCGACTGCCGTCACACATTGTACATCGCCTGGGTGTAGCGCAGGAGATCTTGTAATAACGACACTGCCAGTGAGGTGCTTGGGTACTGCTTCGTTGTGTGTGTAGCAGCAGTATATCTCCTTTTCTTGTAAGATACCACTCTCATCCATGATACCTAGATAGTTCATAAGTCACACGCATCATGTATGCCAAAAGAGAAGTTACCGTATAGCGTCACGCCCTTCTCAACTCGAATGCGAGACCTATGCTTGAGCTCTCGCAGCTGGACCAGAACTGCTAGCTCAACGCTGTTGCGCAGGAAATTATCGTCAGTGAACGAGAGCCCAATTGCCCACAACTTGCGAATCAGCCAGGGCGTTCGTGCTGGCTTTCCGATCAAGTTTCTATCCAGGAAGCTCGCTGCGTTGATTGGAGATACGGTGGTCATTCTAAGTTTTTCGACCGCATCAGCTTGGAGGTTGAGAAAAGCTTCATCTGGAACGTGAAGATCTTCGAGTATCTTGATAAGTTGCCGATTCAAAAACATCGGCAACGGTCTGGAGGCGGCGCCACATATTTCGATGTCTGAAGCCTTTGTCCCTCCAAATTTGATCATAGAAGGCCTCAGGCAGAGAGCGGATCCTGGAAGCTCAGGGTCATGAGAGATGACACCCTTTGCACCTGCAAGACGACGATGCATGTCAGCATACGAGTATCAATCAAGTGCTTTTAGTCACGCTTACCCATAAATCGGACTTGATAGATCGTGGGTTTCAGTCCCCGTTGAGGGTATTCGCGCCAAATCTTCTCGAGCACTTCGGTAGAACATGTGCCAACTCCATCACTGAATGTCCGGCCATTTCGCTCCACATCCTTCATGGTTTTGAATGCTTCTTGAGGAATGTGGATGGAACTGAAGGTCTGAGAAAAGGCCTGTCCAATTCGAGCTGCGCACTTCGCAGGTGATCGTATCAAATCAAAGTCACCGAGGTCTTTGATGACAGCCGGTGCGTATGTTAAACATCCATTGAGCGTGAACGGTGCCATGTACCAGCACGTCTGAGACCGGAGCGAAGAATGGGAAAATCCAAGGAACTGGAGAGATGAGATGATGATTATGTATTTCTGAGGACAGCTTACATACCTCAAATCCCCGGCCAGCAATGATAATAACTCCTTTTAGTACTCTCTTGAATCGTTCATGGTAAATCACCTCGCCGGACGTTTTGCGATCGAGTCGAAGGGGTTCTCCGTCCTCGTCTAAGAACGAGACAGAAAGAAAATAGTTAGGGAAATTGGAGTACTTGCGGAGGACCCGATTCTTCACCTCTGGCTCTGGACCATAGAGATATACGCCCGTTGGGGTCACCATCGCTTTGTGAACGGATGCGATATGGTCGTACTGGTCTGCAAGATTAGGCAGATAAGTCTCTCCCCGAATTATGGAGTCTTCATTCTCTGCTAACATCTGCGCCAACGTCTCCAGACTAAGCTCCGAGGCCTCAGTGGCTGGTCCGGCGAAAGGTATCTGCTCACACAAAGTCCCTACGGCTTGGGTGACGACCCTGACGTCTCGCTCTTTAGCATGGCGGGACACCACTGCTAGTAGTTCGACCACCTTGACTGGACTCAGATAACCATTCTGAGCCAGCTTTTGCATCTGAAATTTCAAGTCAAACGGCAGACTGCCATATATTGAGTCACTCAGGGCTGAATGCAGGGTTGTCATTTGAGCAGCGAACGGGGTTTTCGCGACTGCAGAAGTGTCCCATGTAATGCTGTCCGGGACCTCTGGGAGATGCCTCAACGCTCGTACACCAGCAATGTCAGCGGTGTTGGAGAGTATGATCCTGTAGCAAAGACAACTTGACACCACGGTCTCGTGTTCTTTGCTGAGTGCTGTGATCCGCTTCCTCGTAAACTCTTGGCTTCCCTTGCGGATATCCACCCTCTGGAGTGCGACTTCGAGGATGTTAGTACCCAAGTTCTCGAAGATTTTTGGTGCTTCTGAAAGTGAAAGGGTGATAGATGGGTTGGTGTTGGAGCCCACGGTCATGGATTGGACACTGCTGTAAGGAATTTCAACCTGCTGAAGTGGCGACGTAAGATCTTGTGGCCAAAGCTTGATCAACAAGCTGCGAGGACCGAAGATCATACGCCCTTTCTTTCGCTCTTGCGAATTAGCGACGAAGGCAAGGTCGGCACCCACGTAGTCCCATTGCCCGCATATGAGAGAGCTGATGTCGAAAGCACGTCGATTATGAGTCCCTGGTCGGCGGCTTTCATCCACTCTCCCTTGGACGATCCTTGGCTTCTTGGACTGGCTTGCGGTATACCGATCGCTTTCTTCTTTCTTCAAACTGCGCAAGATAAACTCATCCGGAGGCTTGTTGCTGACACTGCAGTTGATGGGTCGGCCCATATGGAAAAGTTTCACGGGTACGGAGACGAATCCTCTCGCACCTGGTTCAGTCTGGCCATGCATCTTTAGGAACTGTCGAGCTTTGCTAACATCAAGGATTGTGATCGTGGCCGTTCCTCGGGCCTTCAATTTTTGACAGAGGTAGGTCTTGACTCCGAGCTTATCAAGAACATCGCGGAAGAATTTGTCGACCTGTTTTTCAGTGACCTGTTCATGGAGGTTGCGCACGATGACCTCCATGATGACGGGCTACAGGTATGCAATGTTAACAAGGCACGATGAGAATGAAAACTCCAGAATCAGGAGCTAAGATTCAAGTAAACACACGGATGTATTTCTATCTCGTTGAGAGTGATCCTACAGGTGTTGGCGGACGGTGTGTGGAATGAGACATAATGAGAAGTAAGGAGGGGTGCTGTTTAAGCTGCAGGCTTAGTTGCATATGAACAGTCATGTCAGCCTGTGGGGCAGCCTATAGGACCAATAATTAGTTCACATGCCATTTCTACTTGACGTTGCTACTGTTGTAGCATGTGAAAGATGGATGAGAGTGTCAAAAGAGAATCTGAAGCTCTGAGCAGAAGCTTTCCATGGCACTAGCGTGTCGCTAGTTAGTATTGTGTCGGCTCTTTCTCATGCTGAGTATTTTCTTCCGCAAGGCTGTCCTCGACATATAAAAGACCCTTCAGGAGGACAGAATGATCCATCTAGAAGAACCGAGAAAGCTTCGAAAGTGCTAGGCATAAAGGTAGCAAACCCCGGATGTCCTATGATTCATGAAGGTCATACACGCAAACGCTTTCCCTTTTCAACGGCCGTAGAGACAACCTGCAGCCTCGCCCTCCTCTGCAGTCTTCGCCAAGTCCCCTTACCACCGCCCACCTCCTCCGCCGAAGTTGCTCCCACCATATTGGCTGCCTCCTCCCTGACTGCCATGGTGATGGTTATGATGCCCTCCACCTTGAGATCCACCTCCTCCCCACTTTTCCTTCGCTGCATCCTCCAACTTGCTCCCCGCAATCGCTCCGCCAATCATACCCAAGAAACTATGTCCTCCCATCTGCTTGCCGGCATAACGACCTGCTAGTCCACCGCCAATAGCACCCATTATGCCACGCTCGCCTTCTTCGCCCTGTGGTGCGTTGGGGTCGTAAGGAGCGTTGGGGTCACGACCCTCTTGGCCGTAGCCCTGTTGCTGTTGCTGGTGACCCTCTTGGCCGTACTGTGGCTGGCCGTATTGAGGTGCGGAACCGTAGCGAGGATCTTGAGGCGGTGGGTTTCCGCTAGAGGAGCTGTCAGTTGCAGGGGCGAGACGCAGAGATTGTAGGATTTACTAGTAAGCGCCTTGACCCTGGGGGTTACTGGCATCGTATTGACCGTATTGGCCACCTTGCTGTCCGTGCTGGAATCCTCCTTGTTGAGGAGGGCCGAATGAGTTCACTCTCTGAGGTGGGCCATAGCCTTGAGGTGCGTCGCCGTACTGAGGTTGTGGAGGTGGATATTCCTGGTGGCCGTAACCCTGCGGGGGTCCCTGTGGCGGGTAACCCTGGCCGTAATTTGGAGGGTACTGGTTGTATGGGTCTGACATGTTAATTTGGGTGATTCTGGATTTGGAGTGAGTTCGCTGCGATAGGATGTTGAGGACAGGAGGATTGTAAATGTAAGACGAGTAGGTAAGATGTGAAGAGAGAGGATGTTGGGGTGGGTTTTATTCAGGACCCCGCGGGTGGCATTTCGCGGAGCTAGGCGGGGCTGAGTCGGCTTTAACCACATCATACAGTGGTCTGCACCGAAAGTCCTGCACCCGCACTAGTGCAGCCCTAACCCTACTTTCGGAAAGCGGCCCTGTAGAGGGGAAGCCTAAAAATATCTTCTCACAGCGCATGATGAGACTTAAGGTACTTCTTTTAGCCTTGATAGGGGCAGTAAGCCCCGAAACCTGGCTAGGGCTAGGTGCGATTCCGAAGAACTCCAGACGTATTGTCTAGGTAACCCTTTAGGTGGGGCGTTATCCGAAGTCTGAGCGCAAGAGTCTTGGCGGGTGCAGGACTTTCGGTGCAGACCTCTATACAGTGGCTGAATACTGGCGCAGCCTTTCAAACAAATAATTTATTCCTTCACAAGATCGGAATCCTGCTATTCTCAGTATAACTTTCACTTCTATCCGTAGAACTTCCGAAATGTCTCGCTTCCAAATCTTCCATGGTCTTCTGTCTCGTTGTGACAGCTGATCCTGACTGACACATGACGGATGGCAGCACTGCGTGTGAAACATTGGCCTTGCCTGGGATGGTGTTCTACGAAGCACGGCAATCTCTTTCCGACAACGACATCAGTCCCATTCAGAATCTCTCATTTACAACCTGCACTCTTTACGTTCTTTCAACCATCTGCACTCTCAGTATGCCTATGCCGTGGGACCGCTGGGACCATGACTTTCAGAGAACAGAGAGCCCCTTTGGCAAAACTTACTGCTTTTGGGAGATGGGAGAGGCCAGGCGGGAAGAATGTCATGTGTGAGCCTTTGGGGTAGTACTTGTCATGCCATTTGATCGATATATCTATTTACTCGTCATGTATCAGCTTCGTTCACTCATCGTCGAGCAATGTTTCTCCTGGCTTCAGTATAAGAAAAGAAAAAGACAAAGAAAAAGAAAAAGGAAAGCAGAGAAGAGAAACCCCCACAACAGTCCAATGAGGAAGCGCAGCATGAAAGCACTCGACCTAAAGCGAGTAATTTGTTAGCAGTTTTCGGCAAATTTTAGAAGAGAAATAGTCACCCTTTTCGTTGCTCAAGACTCGTTCTTGGCTCCGGCGAGATGACGAGACAGCAGCAGGACACATTGAAGAGAACAGGCGCCTACGCTGCAGATTTACCGAGACAAAACAGAGCATTCTGTAGCTTGGGAGGACGTAGGATCAAAAACACAAGAAGACAAACACTTAAAAAGGCTCTCTGCTCCTAAAGTAGGCTGTGGAGAGAGAATCCATCTACTTTGAAGCAGTGATATTGATATAATAAATCGATGAGGTACGTAGATAGACGAGGGTCTCTTAATGGTCAGTCGTCTATGGGGACGACGCCTGCGATCAATCACAAATGAGGATGTGAACCATGGTTCCTGGACACCATACGAACCATCGGGAAATATCAAGCGTCAGCCATGCCCTTTACAGATTCCCTTTTCCTTCTCTCATGCATCACAAAATAATCGAGACCATACATTTTCCGGTCCGTGATGTGACTGCGAACAAGAACACTGGCCGTTCGTCTGGCCCAAACACGATCTTCACGAGTAAAGTATTACTTGACTTACCTACTTTTCCTCCCCGGGCCTTCCAGTGACCGCTGAGCAAGCCATGAAAGTTTGCACCATCAATGCCTTCCATCCCACTCCAACCCATGATGGTTTCTGTACTGGAAATTCGAGGGTCTCCAGATCCTGCTGTACTGCGATAATCAGGGTTACTTGTAGGCGCAGAGAGATAGATACTAGCAGATATGAATCATGTTGTACATGGCAAGTCTCAATTCTAGCAGCTTCAAAACATAACAGTAAGACTCATCCACCTCATGCTGATTTGATACGATGGACATACAAAGCAAGCAATTTCGCAGGCATGGCCTAAAGTGACCTAGCCGCCTGTCACGCTTTGCCTTTGAACCAATCGACGGACCGGATCGCGTATGTAAAATATGGCGCTTAGATTAGTCCGCTCCTTCACCGTCACCACCGTTTCAAGTCCGTCTCGTGTCTCTAGTCTCTACAATTTCCTTCAATTCTTTGGCCTACAAAACTGGGGAGCTCTCCGAGCTATTCCCCCAGAAATACAAGATGAAATCATGAAAGTGAATTGACGCCCTGGGGGTTTCTTTATTTCATCATCTCGGTCGCCGATCTTTAGATTTGCGCATTGACTGCGCCTTGCTTCTCACCTTTGCACGTCGTCACAGCACCAACAACACATTTACCTTGGGAGTGAGATCCTGTGGGCACGTCGCACAAAGTATTGGAACATAAACACTCCTTTCAACCCGACTGTCGCTCTCTTAGTAATGACTTTGATGGATTGGTGCAACTGCTAGCGGCTCTCTTGCTCTCCGATTGGCAGATCAACAACCAGGCTGCTCTCTATCACAAACGTCCATTGTCCGCTGCGCCAGCTCCAGGACCTGCCAACACACGTAGCAAAACAGCTTTCGAGCTCCCTCTTGATATCACGGTCTCTCAACGCAAGCCTAGGGGCCGAAGACAGCTCTGCGCACATCCCATCTCGCAGCCTTCAGAACGTCACACAACAAGCAACCATGCGCCTCTCAACCGCCACCCCGTTCTCCACTGCCCTGGTCCTAATTCACTTTCTTCAAGCAACCTCCGCCCTCACCCTCACAACCTTCCAACCGATCAACGGCTTCGACGCCGCCTGCACAAACGCCTACAACACGCCCCTCACAGACTGCTCCAATTCCGACTTCGCGGGGAAAGGCTGCTCCGTGAAGTGCGTCGGCTTCCTCGATAGTCTGACAACTGCCTTGAACGAAGCTTGCGCTGGCACAAGCGCATATCCGAACACGTTGATAGGGCTATTCTTTGACGGGTTGGGTGTCCAGACAATTTGCTCGACTGCGAACGGGGATTCAAACCCTGGCGGTGGGGGAGTTGAGCTCGGACAGGCTGGAGGGCAGGATGGGGCGATTGGTAGTCAGTCTGCAGCGAGGGAAGCGAGCGTAGCGACTACCAGCACTATTACCATCTCAACCACCTCGAGCGCTACTACATCTACGACGTCTCAAGCCGCTGCTCCGTCCTCGACCACGACAGTCGTTACCACGCCTCAAGCCGCAGCTACATCCTCGACCACGACAGTCGTTCCAACTACCGTCACTCCTGAACCTACAACTACGAGCGTTGCAGTCGTTGGGATTACAGTAGCGCCAGAGTCACCTTCAGATGCTTTGACCAGCACATCACACACGAAGAGCTCCACTTCGATATCTAGCACCTCGACATCTACCAGTAATGACAACGGTGGAGGGACGCCGCTGGATGTAGGGTCTTCAGCATGCCATGACGCAACAGTCAGGGTGTGGCTGTTTGCCCTACTGGCAGGATCTGCTGTTGTAGCTTTGGTACTGTGAGAGCTCTGAATAGGGTGTTGGAGGCCAGCGAGGTCACTGACTTGAGACGCGATTGCATATACGAGGCTAGCGTGCGGGACGATGATAGATGAACTTGGGCGGCGATTGATATTCATCTTCATTAATCAGATAGCAATTTGAGCGTGGCGTTCAATGGAGCCTTCTAATGCAGTTGACGATGACTCTGTACGATGACCTCTGAGGCAAATGATAGCTTTATGATTCAATGTTACCGATCTTGAGTTTTCGAAGACGACCTCGATCCTTGAGGCTATCTTGGTACCGAAACGATGTGACATTTATCGGACTTGTCGTTGCACACACAATATCATAGCAATGCCCTGATTTTGTAGTCATAGTCATGTTTACATCAGCTATATATTTGTGCCATGGGATACTTGTATGATTCAAATGTGGATGATGGTGTGGTTGGATCTCTGGACTTCAACGCCTTGTGTATAAATAATAGTGAGGTACTCAATAATTATGAATTATGCAGATGTTATTATGCTTGACGCCTACTCGGGAAGGAGCCGCATGCCACTTTCCCTAAAGCGTTGGGCAACTTGGGGCAACAGGGCTGACGGCTTGGCTTACAGTCTGAAATTGGACTCTCTATTAACCACTCATTACTCACCGAACCCTCCACCCCCCCCGCAGTCTATTTCACCTCCAAAACAACCGACTCACAAGCAGAAACACCATACAATAGAATGCTTGTTTAATCAGTCCTTGTCTGACGTGAGCAAGAATAACAACCGTTAGAGCGTTGCCCTTGTCGCTTTCCCCACACTGCAAGCCCAACCTTCAATAATAGACGCCCGTGTCTCTAAGGTACCTTCGCGGGGACATTGTGTATTACGAGTCTCACTGCTCCTTGCTTGCAGACCTCAGCCTTCCAGAAGAAGCCGCGAAGAAGCCAGAAGAGCCCTCCTAGCCCTGCACTGAGCACGCGGCACCTCTACAGACCCAGCATCATTTTGACGCCTGCCATGACATAGGGGCATCCCTCAGCAGCCTGTCACAAGATGGCCATACCCCCAACCTACCATGATTCAGACGCAGACGACGAGTACGAGAGGAGCGTTATGACCTCACCCCTCCTTGCTACCGATGATGATGCCTCTCCTACCGACTCTGACCCTCCCTCGACCGAGCCTACACCTACCACGTTGGGACACAATATTGACGTGGGAAAGCTGTCGCCTGGGAATACAGTTGTGGGGTGGACGACAGAACAATGCGCAGACTACATTTCCAGTCTGGGGCTGCCGCAGTATTGTGACAAATTCTTAGGTAGGGGTGATCATGCGCCTCTTCTCAAACGAAGCTAACGAGCATGATTGGTACAGAGAACGAGATTGTCGGTGAAGCGCTGATAGCCTTACGCCATGAAGAATTGAAGGAAATGGCCATCATCAGTGTTGGGCATAGACTCACTATCCTCAAGGGCGTCTACGATGTGAAGATCAAGCAAGATATTCCGATAGACTCGGACCATTGGATACCGCCATGTAATTTCCCCATCCTCCTCATTCTTTTGGGTAGTTCTGACACGTTGATCAGCCGCCGATGCGATGGCTCAGGATCAGACCGCCACCAGAGATGACATCTCCCGCATCATAAAGTCAATCGAAATACGTGACCACCGCATTCAAGCAGCCGAAGCTGAATTGCGGAAGATCACCGACGAGTACCGGCGACTACGAGACGAGCTTCTGCCTATCTTCAGGATGGCAAAAGACTACTCCCAACCATTACCTTACCATCCCAACAACAACCACAGTCCCAATCATCACGAAGATGGGATGTCACCAATGGTATCACAGCTGCCACCAGAGCAAAAGATTGGCAGCAGCTTATCCCGCAAGTTCTCCACCAAACGATTGTTCCTCGGCGGCACGCCGAAGAGCAGTTCCCCGACCCATATACCCCAGTCTATACCCGAAGGTCGTCAGGCTGATACGTCACTCGATCCTTCTGCAGCCGCCGTCGCAGCGTCGAATCATCTTACTACCACCGCCATGGGAGGCTCTCAAGCTTCTACATCACCATCGCAAGCAAACATACCTTCACCGACCTCTCCAAATACATACGCCAATCAACCCACCCTCCACCAACGCACCTACCGCGATCAGCAACCATCGAGTGGCGGCTCTCGAACCATCTATTCCCACGCCGAAGACTCACAAGGCTACACATCGTCAGTCTCTACATTCACCTCCGATCGAGACCGCGACCGCAGCAACCCAACACCTACCCCGGGCAGCCAGCGAAACCGTGGTCCACCTCCTGAGCCATACCAGCAATCCCAACCACAGCGACAACAGCAACAGCAACAGCAACAGCAACAGCAGCAGCAGCAGCAACAGCAAATGCAAGATGAACCATCCTCCTCCGCAGGCAACAACCGCGAACCCTCGGTCAATATCTTCAAATCCTTCCGCGTCAGCATGGAAGATCCCTGCGAGAGGGTCCTTCCGGCAGCTCTCAAAAAATACAACATCAACGCCGACTGGAAGAATTACGCACTATACATTGTGTACGGCGATCAAGAGCGGTGTCTAGGGTTACGAGAGAAGCCGTTGATACTGTTTAAGCAACTTGATAAGGAGGGAAGGAAACCCATGTTCATGCTGAGGAGGCATGCGGCGCCCTTGGAGGGGCATAGCGGGCCCACAGGCAGTGGAGGAGGGCAGGGTGTGGGTGTGGGTGGTGGAGGCGGAGGGTATGACGCGGGAGGATTGGGGAACGGGAGGGGGCACCAGAGTAGCATTCAGTTACCCGGGGGAGTCTTATGAGCCCACGAGCTCCGTGCGAACGCCTGCATACGCTTGGGGAAAGGAGCAGATTTCGGGATTTCAGCACTACAGAAACCTTCAATTCGATTCGTTTTGTCATCTAGGGGAGAATATGGAGGTTCGGTACAACAGCATGCTTCCACTCGCCTTCCCCCATTCACGAGAAGCCAGTGTCCAGCATCCGCCGCAGCAGCGTCGATTTCGACACACGATCTACTTACTTTACGGGTACGAGCGAAATGGGTGTCCGGCACCACAGCATCATTCGATTCGCTCCCTCTGCCCATGGGGGAGAAGGATCCAGCATTCACGGCAACTTCGATTCTCCACACCATTCTACATCTAGGGGGGAAATGAGGGCATCCGTTCTCCACCACCTCCGGTCCGAGAAGCCTGGCGTTTCACGGATCAGTCATGTCGAAACCAGATAGCGAGTGGAAAAACCAGCTTTCTTCTTTTAAATGACTTTTTTTCGGAAAGTGCGTCTTAGCATCCCAGTAGCGCGGAACAATGCGGATGGAGATATCAGGAGACGTGCTTTCTTTTCACTGCGTCTTCGATTCCATCGCCTACGTAGGGTCCAGAGTCTTTTTCCCATCTTTGGGCGGTTTGTAGTTGACGAGTGATGGTGGATATGTATGCACACGATACCATTCATGCCTGCGGCGCTTTTCTTCAATCGCAGATAGCGGGTCCGAGGGCATGTCGAATTTTCGAAACGTGTCCCTCGTCAGTCCTGGGAGCGAGCGACAAACTGAACACGTGAAGCATAAACGATCGATGATCACTTGGACGGAACGGATTTCCTCATCATCGTAGCAACAGGGGTATCCAGACCCGCCTCTCCCATATCCGTCAGACGTGCCCGCCGCTACCAGGCGTCGAAATTCCCAAACCCCGCCCCCGCCTTCGTCTTCTTCTTCCTGACCGGCTCTCCGCTCTCCCACTCCGCCAGCACTTCCCCAGCGTCCGTCGTCGCCGCGGCACCGGCCATGTACTTCCCCACGCCACCGGTAGCGTCCGGACCTCTCAATCTCTTCCCCGTCCACGTGACCCTCTCATCCTCTCGACCCCCGGCCTTTCTGACCTCCTCTCTCGCCTCCGCCTCCCGGTCCCTCTCCCGCTTCGCCGTCCAGAACTCCTCAAAGGGATCCACAAACACGGCCACTTCTTCCATCCGCACGGCCTCCAGCGGCCTCTTGTCCGTCTCCGACACTTCTACGTTTTCGATCGCGGCAAGGGTTTCCATGCCGCCGACGACGCGGGCGAAGATGGTGTGTTTGCGATCGAGATGTTTGCAGGGGCGGTAGGTGATGAAGAACTGGGAGCCGTTTGTGTTCTTGCCCTTGTTCGCCATGCTGACGACGCCGCGGGCGTCGTGGGAGAGGGGTCCGTCGAACTCGTCCGCGAAGTTCTTGTTCCAGACGGAGCCGCCGCCTTTGCCGGTGCCGGTCGGGTCGCCGCCTTGGAGCATGAAGTTGCGGATGTTTCGGTGGAACACGACGCCGTTGTAGTAGCCCTTCTTGCTCAACTGCGTGAAATTCCACACGGCCTTGGGCGCAAACTCCGGCAGCAGTTCGAGGTTGATATCGCCGTAATTCGTCGATATGCGCGCGTAGCCTGGTTTCTTGACCCGGCGCGGCTTGAGCATGTATTCTTCGTCGCTCAAGAGGGCGAGATCGCCGCCAGTGTGGGGTGTGAGGCCTGTGGAGGTGAAGGAGGCGGCGGCTTGGCCTGTTGTGTGCTGGGCGGCGTTGTAAGGGATTGCTTTTGAAGTGTGAAGGGGTTGGGACTTTGGTGTGCCGTTGCTGGAAGAGGTTTTGGCGAGGGAGGTGGAGGGTGAGGTCGAGGAGGGTTGTTGGTGGAGGTATTTGCCGATTTGAGATTTTGCTGGCGCTGCTGTGTCTTTCTCTCTCAGCACGGAAGCCGCGCTTCCAAGAGCGCCCTTGTTGACACCCGCACTCCGCTCTCGTTGCTGCTCCTCCGTCAATGTATTGACGCCTGCTTGAAGGTATTTAAATTCGCTTAGATTCCTGCCCTTCACATTCAACGGATCTTGCAAGGTAATGATATCCTTCCTCCCAAACTCCACATCACTAAGCAAATCCCTCCACGTCTTCGCTTTCACATTCAGCCTCTCAACCGTATCCCACGCATACACATTGCCCGTAGTCCCCACCGCTACGATGTGCGTGTTATCAGTAAACACCTTGTAGGTGACCGGATCCACCATCTCGCCCTCATCATTTTTGAGGAAGTGTAGCTTGATCAAATCTGTAGCCTTGAGAGGC